CGAATGAGGCAAGGGAAGGAGTGATCGACTCGAGAGAGCGTTTTAGGGCTGATTAACGGGTGGACCCGACATTACAAGGTCCAGACCTTGAATTGGATTTGCAAATCTGAGACGGTCGTGGGCCGGTACTTTTAAATGGCCTTGTGGTTTTAACGGGTCGCATTAACTTTAAGCATTTGGGTAGCGTAGATTTTAAGCACTAGGTTGCCGAATCGTTTATGCATGTCGATATTTTTATACGCTGTATGTAAACGTGTTAAATACATGGCTTTTTACTTAGCTTTTTACTTATGAAATAAATTAATTAGAAAAGTACCCAACTTAATTTATATGAGATTTAATATAGTTTATTGCTTGTTGGCATGTTTGTCATGGGAAAGTAGAAAGTGAAAAAAGAGAGAGTACTTTTTTCACGTTCCCAATAAAGATACTTTCTTATTACTTTCTGTTTTATGAAATCTTGTTTACATGTTAGAAAGTAAAAGGAGAAAAAGTTGAGTTCGTAACTTAATTTATTCTTGTTCTGTTTGGTTGTTTCAGAAAGTAACAATATAAAGTGGACAAATAAAACGAAAATTATATGTAAAAAAGTCTAAAAATATTAAAAATATATTTTCTCTCTACTCTCTCTTTACTTTCCATCCATTTTCTTCATTTTTTTGGAGAAATTGAAATGATGATGTGGCACCCTTTACTTTTCAATCACTTTCTATTCATTTGCAAAATGCTAAACGGGATAAAAATGAAGGTGAAGCCACTTTCTAATTTTCTGTGCACTTTCCATTTCTTCCCTATTGCCAAACATGCCCATGAAACCTTGATTATTAACCAGCAAGAAATGTGTCCAAAATCATTAAAAATAGATGCATATCCATAATATAACTATGAGCGGCAAACTTTGTTCATTAGTATACATTTACAGTCCTCAAATTTCAATAATCTATACCATTAATAAAACTGTTCCAAATGTAGTTACCACCATACCTTTGTAAAAAAAATTATTCTTATCTTTCATTCAAGGCAAATGATAAACATCAATTAACCTTTTAAAAGCACGAGTTTAGGAAAAACTTTTCATGGTCATATTACCCTTCACTATTTTGGATATTTTATTTAAATCTTAATCCTTTTTTAAATTTTAATCATATCTTATCTAATACCACGTAAACTATCCATAGCTTAACAATTTAAAAAATTATTTTAAATATTTTATTTAAATCCTAATCTATCAAATTGCTAATTATGTCTTATATTAATTCCATATTAACTACCTATAACTCAACAATTTAGAAAAAAATAAGATAAAGAAATTATATGTGTATAACATATTATAATACATGAAGTATTATAAAAAAAACCAAAAGTTTCTTAATGGTCAGTATTACCCTTCACTATTTTGGATATTTTATTTAAATCTTAATCTTTTTTTTAATTTTAATCATATCTTATCTAATACCACGTAAACTATCTATAGCTCAACAATTTTAAAAATTATTTTAAATATTTTATTTAAATCCTAATCTATCCAAATGCTAATTATGTCTTATATTAATTCCATATTAACTACCTATAACTCAATAATTTATAAAAAATAAGATAAAGAAATTATACGTGTATAACATATTATAATACATGAAGTATTATAAAAAAACCCAAAAGTTTCAAAAATTGCATATAATAGCCTTAAAAGTTTAAAATCACACAAAACATCTTGACTTTTTTTAAACTTAAAAACAAACATGAAATCTAAAATTTTAAAATTTATAATTAACACCCTCGATATTTTAGAAATTATAGAAACAACCTCAAAATTTTAAATTACATAAAAACACCCTAAACTTCAGAGATTTCAAAACTTAGCAACAACATAGATGGATTCCAAGGATTACCATTAAGCACTTAAAATTTTAAAATTTATAAAAAATAAGCTCAAAGTTATAAAAATTACAAAAACTCTCTCAAAGGTAAAAAAATTACCAAAAATCCTGAAACTTTAAACCTTATAACCGGTACACATCAAATTTAAAAATTATGAGTAGATTATTGAAATTTTAAATTTTTAAAAAATAACCCAAAATTTTAGTAATTGTAAAAATACATTTAAATTTTTATAGTTACAAGAAATATTCTAACATTTAAAAACTTACCACCAACACATGAAACATGAAATATAAGCACAACTTATAATTTAAATTTTTTATAAAATACTATCAAAGTTCAAAAATTATAAAACACACCCTCAAAAGTTTAAAATCACAAAAAAGGCTGAAATTTGGCAAAGAAAAGAGGAAATATTTGATATTATAACATTAAGATATATAAATTTAACTTTTAATTTATCATCACTTTTCAACATCTAAAAGTAATCTAAGTTGAAGCTGGTAAAAAATAGCAATTACCGTTGATTAAAACTATACAGTTAAGGAGTAAGAATTTTAAAATATATGATAGATTAAAATTAACATTATTGTGTAAATTCAATGAACCGCATATAATTTTAATAATAACATTCATTGATATAAGTAAAATTAATAAAAGACTATAATGTAATAAGTTAGCATTAACTGGTTATAATGTATAAACATTTTTCTCTCTAATGTTGATAATATTTATAGGGTAAAAAATATAATGAGTTATGTATGGAGAAACTATGAGAAAGTTTGGAGATATCATTTAAAAGAACTAAATTGTTTTCATTTCAAATGGATAAGTGAATGAAATAAACTCAAAATTTAGAAACTTTCATGAATCACCTGAATTGACATTGATAAAAGGCAAATTTGACAAAGAAGGACCGACCGAGTTCCCCTTGAAGAACATATTGAACAATTTTGTCCTAATTAAAAAAGCATTCTTCATGAAACATATAAGAAAAATTAGTAAGTATTTATAAATTTTCATATTTTTTTCTTGAAATACTAAAGGAATCATAAACTTAATATAAAATTACATATAAATAATATTGCAATAGAAACTAAAGTGAAGCCAATGATCAACTATATTGCGAGATATAATAAGTTAGATAAGATGAGGAAAATCACTATAATTAACAAAACATATGCACATGATACTTAGTTACATTAGCGTAAGTAAAAACAGTTAAAATTGATATTTTTTTCTATATAGTGGCATAACTCTGCAAATAACCTTATTTGGGGATATGACTACCAACGAAGGATCAAATTTTAGGGACACGATCAAAGATAGGCATGTAATAGTACTGTCAGATTTCAAGATCTTTGTAGGCGTTAAAATTTGCCTATAGATTATCATACATAGCTCAAGATGAAGAGAATACAATAAACGCCATTACCTGAGTTATAAAGGATCATCCAAAACCAAAGATCAACTAAGGAATGTACAAGAAGCGCATCACACAAGTTTCAAGGCACAGAACATGTCTCAAAAACTATGAGAAAACTCATAGTTTCCGAGACAGTTGTGGCTATCTCGGAAGCTATGAAGGCAAATCATAGTTTTCGAGATAATTGCGACTGTCTCGGAAACTAGAGTGGACTTGGCGACGGTTTTTTTGAGTTTTTGTGCGATCCACGTGGCTTCATAACTGTTGGGGATCATCTATAAACGCGGGGGAGCCGTTACAAGTGAAAATCACGCCCATAACTCTGACGTCAGCAAACTGATATAATTATATATTTCAATGTGGCGGAGTTTCTGCTTCATGGCTGAAGCGTATCATCCAAAGCCAAAGATCAACTAAGGAATGCACAAGAAGCGCATCACACAAGTTTTAAGGCACAGAACATGTCTCAGAAACTATGAGAAAACTCATAGTTTCCGAGACAGTTGTGGCTATCTCGGAAGCTATGAAGGCAAATCATAGTTTTCGAGATACTTGTGACGACTGTCTCGGAAACTAGAGTGGACTTGGCGACGGTTTTCTCGAGTTTTTGTGCGATCCACGTGGCTTCATAACTGTTGGGGATCATCCATAAACGCGGGGGAGCCATTACAAGCGAAAATCACGCCTATAACTCTGATGTCAGCAAACTGATATAATTATATATTTCAATGTGGCAGAGTTTTTGCTTCATGGCTGAAGCATGGACTCAGAGACGTTTTCTCCATAAATCTGCTTAAAGTTTCTGCTTCATGGCCAAAAACACGGACTCAGACAGAGATGTTTTCTCTCTAAATCTGCTTAAATTTGTGGCTTATAGAAACTGAACACGTGTTGCTCTGATTTTGTGCACGGTCGAGCGTAGAAATGAGTACTCTAGAATAGAGATGTCAAATGGATGGTTTTGGTTGGGTCTTGGTTGGGTCATAAATGGGTGGACACATTTATGACCACTTGATCATTTATGATTCATTTAACATTTGCTAAATGAGTCACTTCTCAACCACCCATTTACTAAATGGGTGGTTCATGGGTGACCCAATAATCCATTTAGTTATAATTATAATGTTTCTGTATATATGTAAGTTTTAGGGATCTACTTGCAAACTTTCAGGGGTTTTGACAAACTTTCAGGGGGGTTTTCTGTAAACTTTTAGGGGTTTTCTGCAAACTTCCAGTAGTTTTTTTTGAACTTTTAGGGGTTTTTTTGCAAACTTTTAGGGGTTTTTTGCAAACTTTCTGGGGGCTTTTTGTGAACTTTCTGGGAGGTTTCTGCAAACTTTTAGGAGATTTTCTGCAAACTTTTAGGGGATTTTCTGTAAACTTTTAGGGGGTTTTCTACAAACTTTTAGGGGTTTTTTTGTAAACTTTTAGGGGGTTTTCTACAAACTTTCGGGGGTTTTATGTAAACTTTCAGGGGTTTTTTTTATAAATTTTTAGGGGGGTTTCTGCAAACTTTCTGGGGGGTTTCTGCAAACTTTCAGGGGGGTTTCTGTAAACTTTTAGAGGGTTTTCTATAAACTTTCAGGGGGTTTTTTGTAAACTTTTAGGGTTTTTTTTTGCAAATTTTAGGGGGTTTTCTACAAACTTTTAGGGGTTTTATGTAAACTTTCAGGGGGGGTTTTGT